CTTCTGGATGAAGCTGGCCTGGAGGACACCAAGAGGGTGCTGAGCGCACGAAGTGAATCTTCGATCCTGAAGACTTCCTCGGATCCGTATTATCCTTTAGTGAAGGTGTTCGCAACTCATGCACAAAAGCAAAATGCAGTGAGCACATTCCCTCGCGATCGGCTTGGCCACACTAATCAAAATGAGGATGGAGATGCTGGGTCGGGAATCGGAGGTTTGTTATTAATATTATTGTCGGAGAGCACCTCGTCATCCTCAGCAAGTGTAATGTATGGGCGTAAATTGTAAGGCCCACTCTTTTTCGGGGGCTCGCTGAGCGCTATGATGTGGTACGAGGGAGGTGATTCTCGACGCAAAGATGCTTTTAGATGAAAGGGCCGAATAGTGCGATGAACGTATGAAACTTCGCTCGCAGTGTGCTCTATTGGGCTTTCACTTGTACGAAATTTATTTAATATACAGAAGAAATGCAACGGGGCTGATGTACATTTTACAAAGAATAAATTTTGACTAATGAAGTCTGCGGTCGTCGTTTGATCTGGTGACCGAGAGCCAGTAGGAAAACCTATAGTATTAGTTTCTCTGCTGTTTCAGCAGTTGACATGTTTACAACGAATGTTATCAACTTAGTTAAATAATGTTCCAGTGTTTCTTATAACAAGACTTTATTCACTAACGTGCGGATAGCAGGCCACGTTCACCTCTAATCCCTCTTTTTAGAGTTTCGTTATCTTCACAGATGCCAATATTTGCGTATGACGAATTTTCACAATTTCACCCGCTGTAATGCGAATTCGTACAATCGTACCATATTGTGATTAACACAATTGTATTGAATCTGAGTTTAAAGTTCAGTTTCCGTGTCAATACAAAAAATTATACCAATTCTTTTCAAACTCTAAAAAAGTGTCAAAGTTGTGTCGAAGACTTTACATGCCCTTGCGATTGTTCAGATACAAGTCGAAATCCCCCAAAAATATTAAAAGTATATTAAGTACCGAAGTAATGGTTTTAATCAATACGATTTCATGGTAAGAAAGTAGTTTTATCCTAAGACATATTATAAAGTAAACATTATTCAAATTGACAGCAAAGTCAGTGAGGCTAAGTGTAAGACCCGGTGGCGTGGGTCGAATGGTCAATGCTTCTGGACCTTACGCTGTGTGGCGCGGGTTCGAGCCCCTCAGCGGACAAAAATCGTCCAGACATGCAAGAAATGTCGGCTGCATGCTAAATATTACCGACAACTAAGGACTTCGGGATGGCGACTCGTACAAGAAAAATCAAGAATTAAAATCAATCGAAAAAATACCCCAGCGGAATGAAGCAATGTAATATCTTAGTCAGGGCCGAGTAGGTATAGCCGTGTAATAAGATAATACATAGCAACTTTCAACTGAGGCTAAGTGTACGTCATTTTAAGATAATGTTTCAAAAGACAAGGTTTTACCAAGTCTTGAAAAAGTAACTTAGATACTCACTAAAATATACTTAACTGTTATGTGCACGATCAGAGAACTGAGAGAAACCCATAGGACAATACTGTTGGCAATCGCTTAAGTTGTTGATTCGGGCAAATAGCTCAAATTTTTCGCGGTGCCTTGTCCACACAACCGTCACGAGTACGTCAAACAATTGCGTTAAGATCTCCTTGATCTCTGTCGGTGTCTTTCCGCTCATCGCGAGTTTCAACACAAATTCTCGGCGGTCTTCACCATTTAGATCGTTACCATAGCTCTTTTTTGGCTGCACATGGGCGGTAATGGTATTTGTGCATGGCTCCACAATTTTCCAGGCCTCCCAGCCAAGACGATTTTGGTTTTCACACCTGACATGGGATCTGCTATTGCACTGAAGGACATTTCCCGTGCGACACGACACAAAGTACAGAGCACAGTTTAAGTCTGTCTCTATGGTAAAAAGCTCGTAGTCGCCAGGTTCTTTACTGTCAAAGATACAGTCTCCATTCGTGTAAACTTGCAAGTAGCGTCCATTGTGAGCTGATTGAATGGCAATCTTTTCCTTACGGA